AGGGTTCGTGGTGATTCTCATGCCGGCCGTGATAGCCCCGCCCCCTTTTATGACACGGCACATGCGTGCCGACCTCATGATGCAAGTGACATCACTACCCGCCAAGACATTCGAATTCGAACGTTTTGGGGGCGTGGCTACAAATTAGAGAACAAAGGATTTAAGGCAACTTCTGAAACAGACTCCTTGCCCTGTTGTGGTCCTTACTAGTCCCAATAGCGCGTTGTACTTATTGGTATTTTCTGGTTTTGACTTCGGCTTGCTTGACTATTCTCCCTTCTGTTATTCCTTTGATTCGGCTTGTGTACCCTCGTTCTTTCAGATTTCTGGCTTCCCTGACCTCGGCTTGTACCTGTATATTCTCTCTCCATTCTAAGGTATGTTACAGCTTTATTTACACTCTGCGTTTAGGATCCCCACTATTCCTGACACACAGTGAGTGAGTTTAAGCATGCGTGGGATAGGTGTAAGGTTATCTAGACTTAATATAAGGCTAGGGACTAATAAAAGTATTTAGAATATTGGGCAGAGTAAATGGGCCAAACGGATCTTATCTGCCGTCACATTCTATATTTCTATGTTTCTATACTGATTGGCCAGGGCTGTGTTTAGCTTGTGCTGGCTCTGCCCCTGATCTTCCTACTTGACAAGCTCCGACAATCCAGTGCTTTTTCAATGGGAAAGCATTGTGATTGGCCTAGAGAATCACTTCTGATTATGTCAGCCAAGCAGACAGATCAGGGGCAGAGCCAGCAGCAGTAGACTGGAATAAAGGTAAGAGTTTACTATATTTAGGAGGGCTAGATGGTGTTTTTTATTTTTAAATTCTTTATTTTTGCTGTGCGAGTAATAACAAATGAGCCCGTGGTGCCACAACAGCAGACCCGGGCTAAACATTACGATACATTTCCCAACGTGACTAGTGGAGATTCTGCACATTTTTTAGAGTAAAAGTAAAATAGCTTTGGTCGGAGAGGTATGTGTGGCATAACAGAGCTTATATTATATAGCAAGAGAGTCGGACATACCAGTAGTATAAGGATAGGAACAACTAGTTGACCCGCCCCGGAGTGGAGCAAATGAACTTTCTTTACATGGCCGCTTAAGTGGTTTATGTTAGAATATATTGTAGGAGACCCATCTGCTAAGCATGGGCGTCCGCAGGAATTTTTCCAGGGGGGGCATAATTGTAATGACATCCATGCTTGGTACCTTTTTGACAGTGTCATGAAAGGGAAGGGGCATAGCCATTATCACATAAAGCCAGGGTGAAGAGCGTTTTCACAACTATGGTGTCAGGAATATTTGTTTGTATTCCTGACACTATGGTGTTCCTTTAAGCAAATTAAAGGACCATTCTGGTCACCATAACAACTTCACCTAAATGAAAATGCTATGATGCCAGGAAGCCCCTGGGTGCTCGCTTTTCCTTTAAGGGGTTAAATTGCTCTCAAATGGTTTAACCCCAAAGGCTTCCTCCAGCTCCAGGTCGCTCAGTGGTATTTGGCTTCTGAAACAGAGTGTCAGGAAGTGCAGATTGACGTCAGGCATGGGTGCCACTGATTGGCTAGAGTGAACAGTTGATACTCTAAGCCAATCGCTAGTTCCCGGTTCATAAAATATTTTAACTTTTTTATGAATGGGGAGCTACTGATTGGCTTAGAGTGCCAGCTGACCGCTCTAGCCAATCAGCAACACCCCTACCCAACGGCACTCTGTGCTTCCTCACACTCAGTAAATAAAAGTGAACACATTAATACTGATATTTTTTTACCTTTGGAGATGAGAAGGTCCAGCGTTTCCCTGCCTGGCCCAGGTACCAAAGCCTTATGATATGGTGTCCAGAATAAAGTGGAGGGTTCACTTCATTTGTCCTTCCTGCTCCAATCTCCTTTTCCTCTCCTTCATTTAACAGTCTTTTTTTTTCTTCTGACACTGTTTTCTATCCTTGGCCCTTTCTGCTCTTTTACCTTTCTGCTACTATCTGCTTATTTAGCGCCCTTCTGCTCCTTTCTCATTCTGATCCCTTTCTGCTCCTTGCAGACCCTTTCTGCTCCCTTTTCTACTTTACCTTTGTGCTCCTTCTGATTCTTTCTGCTCCTTTACCTTTGTGCTCCTTCCTGCTCCTTGCAGGCCCTTCCTGCTCATTCTCCTATTTTACCTTTGTGCTCCTTCTGCCCCTTCCAGCTAATTTCTGACCCTTTCTGCTCCTTATACTTTACCTTTGTGCTGCTTTACCTTCCAGCTCCTTGCTGACCCTTCCTGTTCATTTCTGTTCCTTTGTGCTCCTTCTCCTACTTTACCTTTTGTGCTCCTTGCTGTCCCTTCCAGCTCCTTGCTGCCCCTTTCTGCTCCTTGATGTCCCTTCCTGCTCATTTCTGTTCCTTCTCCTTTTCTTACTTTACCTTCTTGCTCCTTGCTGACTCTTCATGTAGGCTGTCTCCCCCATCCCTCACTTCCATAGGCGTGTGCAAGGGGTGTGTCGGGTGTGCCTGGGCACACCCTAATCCCCACGGCACGCCAATGGATTGAGACCGGCAGGGGAGATCTATGGATCTCCCCAGTCGGCTCATGCAGAGACGACGCTATCCAAGCGGCGGCTCTGGTCTAAGCCTCCATGGGCCGGTGGGGAGATCAAAGTTCTACCTCACCGGTCCACAGCAGCATGGAGGGAGGCAGCAGAGAACCCGGGCTAGAGTTCACTCTACACTGAACCACCAGGGAAGGCAGCAGGACTGGGATATTAACTAATCTGCCCCCACTCCACCCAAACATACAGCACACACCCACAGTACCTACACACAGCACACACAGTCCACAAACAGCACCCACACACATACTTCACCCTTGCACACACAGCACCCAGCACACTAACAGCATCCTCACAAACACACAAAACCCACACACACACAACACCCGCACAGCACCCACACACAAACAGCACACTCACACACAAACAGCACCCTGACAAACACAAAACACCCACACACAGCACACTAACAGGACCCGAACAAAAAACCTTTTACCTAAAACCATCTACCCCCCAGCCTCACTCCCTAATCTATAGGCTGCTGCCCCAGCCTCACTCTAATCTATAGGCTGCTGCCCTGCTCTAATCCTGGGCTGCTGCCCCTCACTCTAATCTATAGGCTGCCTTACTCTAATCTATAGGCTGCGCTGACCCCCTCACTCTCCTTATGTATAGGCTGCTGCCCCTCACTCCCCTAATCTATAGGATGCCCCCCCTCACTCTCCTAATCTATAGGCTGCTGCCCCCCCAGCCTCACTCCCCTAATCTGTAGGCTGCTGCCCGCCCCCAGCCTCACTCCCTAATCTATAGGCTGCTGCCCCCCCAGTCTCACTCCCTAATCTATAGGCTGCACCCCCCTCCACTCCCTAATCTGCCAAACAACACACAGCCTCACTCCTAATCTATAGGCTGCTGTCCCCACCTCCCTAATCTATGGGCTGCCCCCATCACTCCCTAATCTATGAGCTGCTGTCCCCCCCTCCCTAATCTATAGACTGCCCCCCCCTCACTCCCTAATCCTATAGGCTGCACCATTACCCCCCACTCCCCTGTCGATGGGCTGCCCCCCTCACTCCCTAATCTATGAGCTGCTGTCACCCCCCACTCCTAATCTATGGGCTGCCCCCTCACTCCCCTGTCCCTATAGGCTGCTGTCCCCCACGCTCCCTAATCCCTATGAGACTGCACTCCCTAATCCCCATAGGCTGCTGTCCCCCCCCCCTCCCTAATCTCTATAGACTGTCCCCCCTCACTCCCTAATAATCTGCAGGCTGCTGCCCCAGTCTCACTCCCCTAATCTATAAGGCTGCAGCCCCCTGCTCCCCCTAATCCTATAGGCTGCTGCCCCAGCCCCTCCTCCCTAATCTATGAGCTGCTCCCCACTCCCTAATCTATAGACTGCCCCATCCTCCCTAATCTGCAGGCTGCTGTCCCCCTCCCTAATCTGGAGCTGCCCCCCTCACTCCCTAATCTAGGCTGCTGTCCCCCACTCCCCTAATAGATGGGCTGCCCCCCCTCACTCCCTAATCCCCATAGGCTGCTGTCCCCCCCCCACTCCCTAATCTATAGACTGCCCCCCTCACTCCCTAATCTATAGGCTGCTGTCCCCCCACACTCCCCTAATCTATAGACTGCACTCCCTAATCTATAGGCTGCTGTCCCCCCCTCCCCTAATCTATAGACTGTCCCCCCTCACTCCCTAATCTATAGGCTGCTGCCCCCCCAGTCTCCTCCCCTAATCTATAGGCTGCTACCCCACCCAAAAAAATCTATAGGCTGCTGCCCCCCTCTCAAACCCTCCCCCCATCCCACACTTACCTGATCTGTAGGCTGTCTCTGGCTGTATGGGTTGCTCCCCTGCGGTTTCAATCAGCAGAGAGATGCAGGGATAAGATGCAGCTTCCTATCCCTGTCTCTCTCCATACACAGCGCCACCTATTGCAGTTCATTTTAAATCTCACACGAAAAATATCAGAACAAGCTGAAAAATCCAGGGGGGGGCAAGTGTCCCCCCTTACCCCCCCCCCCTGCGGACGCCTATGCCTGCACTGCTGGGCAGAGAACTTCTGTAACTCATAGAGTCAGGGACAAGCACCAGGTGTACCCCAGATAAGAAGTCAAACAATTAGCAAATACTCATTTTGAGTGGCACCCTGGCACTGTAACCACCACAGAGTTCTGTAGTGGTTGTTGCGTGGAGTGTTTCTTTAATCATCAAGGATGATAATGATGTATATAAAGGCAACCATACAAGTGTAAAAATATGCAACAGGATGAGGAACCTGAATATGTGTTTTTGTGTACCTTAACATTTTGTTGAGACATGTACCTAGCATATCTTTCTAATATAATTTATTTATTTTTTCCTTCCTTTTTTTTAAAGCAACATCTTAATTTTAGAATATGTAATAATTGGAAAAATGATGTGTTCAAAAATCCCTAGTTTCATGCTGTGGTTACTTTCCACTATAGAAAAATGCAGGACATCTAATGTAGAAGATCATGAGGTGCCACTGTGGCTTCTGTTGAAGAGTATACAGTCATCGCATAGGGTGATTCGTTCTGAAGCAGTTCAAACCCTCGCAGGGATTCATTATTGGCATGGTATGATTCACATATTGAAGCATGCAGTGTGACTTAACATTTCTTTTATCCTAAAAATATGCTAACATAATTTCAAGATATTTCTGTATATTTTAATTTGCAGCTACTTACCATATGTGGTTCACTAATGATTTTAAATTGCAGAGATGGTGGCCTCTTTGTTTTTAACTAAATTTTTTATTTTGGCAGGTGATTCATGACAAAGCAGTAGTTTCATTGTATAACATTTGACAAGCATATTCAAGATTTGCAAACATTGATGTCTAGTGTGATCAACTAATTTTTTTACTGAACAATAACTATTGGTGGTGATGCCAAGGAGCAGGGGATAGGTAGTTGAGGGGTTGGTCTTCTCAAGCGGTTAAACATCTAGTCGGTAAGACTATGTATCAATGGCATTTGTTTATCTCCTAGGTGGTGTGCATGCCTCTAACCTATAAGGCGCAGGGTGTGGGGGGTTATATGCTTATTACACCCTTCATTATTATGAGCATTGATAGCGATCTCTTAGGGGTTGGTTTAAGTTCTATATACAGCAGCAAGTTGTCCACCATGAGGCGACTTTGTGTAAAATAATAACATATAAACACAATAATCCGTACAGAAATAACATCGGCATAAAAATATAAGGTAGAGCTGAAACATTCGGTGACTTAGATATGGTCAACGATATTTATTTCAGAGAGTCTCGTTTTTGCCCTGGTACAAAGGGAGTGATTGCATAGACATCCCAGTGATGGCTGGTACTTGTTGAAGGAGTTGTGTCAGGTATGTCCAGTGCCTGGAGTAGGGCTGGACCATCTGTGGCATTCGTTGCCCTTAAGGTTTTTCCCTTTTGGTCTACGGAGATGGATCTTGGGTAAGTCAAACGATAAGAAAGTCCTTCCGGTAATGAGCTTCATAGACTTTTGCCACAGTAGTGCGAGCCTTCTGAGGTCTTGGAAGAAGGTGATGCTGTGTGATTCAAATTGAAGCGGGGTTTTCCCTTTTAATGCTGTGAGTAGCCTTTGTTTATCAACGATGGATTGACAGTACAGGATTAAGTCTCTAGGGGCTGTGGTGGGAGCATTTTGTGATGCCAAATGCCCCGTCAAAAGCAAATTGTTTGTCAAATTTCGTAGGCAGTATGGTTGTGACTAGGCCTTGTAAAGTGGGGAATGTTGTGCTTTCGTCCCCTGTCATCCACCTGGTCCACTCAGGTGAATAGACTGTTGTGTAATGATCTTAGTTGCTGGAAAAATTCACCTTAGGTATCCATCCCTTGTTTGAAATCCAGTAGGTCCTCCTCTGCAGCCTGTACCCTGTCTGCCACTGCTTGCACTTCTGTCTTTACCAGAGTCAGTTCTGTCGAGAACATGTTTTGAAAGTGCATATCCCAGTATGCTGCACTTGCCACCCGCAGGACTCCCGCATGGTATGCCCAAATTCCGTGCTGTCGAGTTTTTGCACTTGCGGGAAAAATAAATTACGTAATTCCAAAACAAGTAATCCATATTCACCTTACAGAATGAGCTTTCAAGGCTAGAGACAGGTTACCCATTATGCGGTCAACAGCTGCCTGGGCCCGGACTCAGACATTTTGGGCCTGAAACTTTCAAAAGATCAAAAGATGCACCTGCCACAGCTGATGTTCTGAGCCATTAACGAAGTGCCAAAACTGCTAGGGCACTTTTAAGGTGGCTAACCTTAAGCACGTGGGGTATACTAAAACGTATCATTTTAAAAAAGCCAATTTCAATAAGTTTAGGGTAGCTCTACAACATATAGACTGGCATAAACTCCTTAGTGAAAAAATTACTGTGGATAAATGAAAACTATTCAAACAATTATTAGAAAAGCACATTTCTCAGTATGTACCATTGGATAATAAATATAAAAGAAACAAACTGAAACCAACGTGGCTTAGCAGAGTAAGTAAAACAAGAGATTAAAAATAAGAAAAGGGCATTTAAAGCATTTAAATCGGAAAAATCAGAGGCATCCTATATAAGATATAAGAAAGCCAATAATACGTGCAAAAAGGCAATTAAAGTGGCTAAACTAGAAAATGAGAAATTGATAGCCAAAGAATGCAAAACCAACCCCAAAATTTTTTTCAAGTACATTAATTCTAAAAACAACAAAAAATGAAAGTGTAGGTACACTGGAAACAGAGATGGGTCTGTTAGCTAATGAAGACCATGAAAAGGCAGACATTTTAAATAACAATTTTTCTTCAGTATATATTAATGAGGATCCTATGGCAAGAGATATGCAAATATTGCAGATAACTTGTGATTGGATGATTCGAGACAAGGTGCTACAGCAGTTAAAGGAAATTTATGTAAATAAAGCTCTGGGACCAGACGGTATTCACCCATGAATATTTAAAGGACCACTCTAGGCACCCAGACCACTTCAGTTTAATGAAGTGGTCTGGGTGCCAGGTCTAGCTAGGGTTAACCCATTTTTTTTATAAACATAGCAGTTTCAGAGAAACTGCTATGTTTATAAATGGGTTACTCCAGCCTCTAAAGCCTCTTGTGGCTGTCTCATTGACAGCCGCTAGAGGTGTTTGCGTGCTTCTCACTGTGAAAATCACAGTGAGAAGACACAAGCGTCCGTAGGAAAGCATTATGAATGCTTTCCTATGAGACTGGCTGAATGCGCGCGCAGCTCCTGCCGCGCATGCACATTAAGCCAAAGAGTAGGAGAGGAGGAGGAGAGCTCCATGCCCGGTGCTGGAGAAAGGTAAGATTTTAATAGTGCCCTGAGGGGGCACCCTCAGGGCACTATAGTGCCAGGAAAACGAGGTGGGCGTGCCCGGAAGGAGGATGAGGAGAGAGGACGCGGAGGCGAGCTAATTATGCCGCTCCGTGATCACTGTTTGGCTGGGAAAAGATTTGATGAAGTGGAGTGAAGACTCAGTGAAGACTCAGTGAAGTCAGTGAACTTAGTTTGAAGCAACACGGTGCTGAATATTTGAAGCGCATTTGAAGTGCATACCAATATATATTATTGACTGCCTTTAATGCTGAGGGTCTATTTCCTTAATTTAGAGAAACAACAACAGTTCCCTTATAAACTATCAAAGAGAACGTAGAAAAGAAAGAAAGAATAAGGGAGAAATAAAAAGAAAAGGAAAAGAGGAAAAAAAATATATCCCTCAGCAATTTTCTAAACAGCCATATATAAAAACCGTGAGTATCTCTGTATATACTGCAACATTATTGCAAGGCATTAATATATTTGTATATAAATATTGGCTTGGAAAAAAAAAGGGGAAAGATTTTTTTTTTTTGGAGGAGGAGACTGGTATATTTGACTGATTTAATTGAATTAATTACTCAATCAATTGATTTAATCATTCAAGATTAAAGCTATATATAAGATATTTAGCTAAAGTCTGCTACTGAGAAGCACTCAAGAAACAAAATGTCAACTAGGAAAACAACAGAAAAGAAGAAATAAATTAAATCAGTTCAGCAAACAGAAAAGAGGTTGTCAGGCTTTTTTACAACCCCCATTAAGGATGTGCAGGAACAGATAATTGATGGTAAGACACACCCAATCAATACCTCCAATATTAATCTGGAAGTTCCACTTAATCAACCTTCATCAGAAACCCAAGCAATTGCTTTAATTAGCATACAAGACCAACTTAAGCAAGTGCTGGAGTTACAACTAAATATATTGAAACAAGATATGCTTGCAAGTTTTAATGATATAAAACAAGAGATTAAAAATGTTGCAGTATCAGTGGTGGAAGTGGAAAAAAAATGCGAAGTGTTTGGAACTCAAATTAAAGCAATTAACATGGAAGTGCAGTTTCTAGCAAATAAAGTTGACAATCTTGAAAATAAAATAACAGCTTTAGAAGATAGATCAAGAAAAAGAAACATAAGAATAAGAGGGGTCTCTGAAGAAATCTCCAATGAAAAATTAAGAGAATATTTAAACAATTTATTCAAAGAAGTTTTACCAGAAATATCTTCAGATGAATATCAAATAGAAAATTTCCACCGAATATACAAACCCAATACAACAGCTTCACACCTCCCAAGAGATGTAATAGTGAGTTTTTCTTCACTACCAATGAGAAATAATTTAATGAAAGCCAGCCGTATTAAACCCCGAATAAATTCTATTTGTAAAGATATAATTTTTTTGCAAGACTTATCCTATTACACCAGGACTTGGAGGAAATCTTTCTCTACCGTGACAAACTTTTTAAGAAAAGAAGAGATCAGATTTCAATGGGGTTATCCAACATCTTTAAGGTTTACTTGGAAACAAGAAAAAATATTTTTTTTGGATGCAAATGATGCAAACAGTTGGCTAACAAGTATTAATAAGAAAGGTTGAAAAGCCTGTTGCGATGGAAAAGAGGAAGAGAAGAGAAGAAGGAGGAAAAGGAAAAAGGAAAAGGAATTTTTTTTTTTCACTTTATAGTCAATAAGCTTTTATTGTAAAGCACAATTTTATTTTATAATCTACAATGTTTTCACTTATATGGAATTAATTAGTTGTGCAATATATAACAAATTTTTCGATATAATTAATAATTGTTTCCACTTATAGGGTATTAATTATGTATAATAGAAATAATAGATTTTTTTTTTTTGAAACAACTCACTAAGAAATTAAAAGCACATAAATATGTGAAAAAAGGAGTTAAAAGCAAACACGTTTAAGCATTAACATTAATGAGATCCAAATTCAATAAGGTGGTTAAAAGTAAATTATTCACATATATTAGTAAGGTTTTTTTAGTAATAGATAAAAAGATTAAATACACTTGTAATTAAACACCATAGGAAACAATAATAAAAATTGTTTATAAATAGATTACTAGTAGCTATGCTAAGAAGAAATAGATTCCCTCAAATCAAAGAATTAAAGGGAAATAGGGTTAAAAATAAAAGAAGGGAAAAGGAAATGTTTTTTTTTTCTCCTCCCTCTCGGGGTAAAATTGTAAAACTTGTAAATATTACTACCTCTTTTTGGACATACCCACTTAGTGTCTAATTTAAAGACACAGTAAAGACTGAATTTCTAAATGAAAATTTACAGTCTTTGTGCTAAAAAAGGAGGATTTCCTCCAATGATTTTAAATTTATGTTTTGTGTGTTTGTATGTATATGTTTTTGCAGCAGTAGGGAAGGATAATGATTATCGAGTGGAAAAGGATGTAGAGAAGTTTATGAAAATAACATGATAAAAATGCTTACACTCAATGTTCAGGGAATGAATACTATAGCAAAAAGAGATTTACTGTATAAATATCTCAGTGAAAAACAATTGAATCTAATATTTTTACAAGAAACCCATTGGAGGCAAGTGGATAAACAGAATTGGGGAGGTAAAAGATTTCCACTTATAATTCAAGCCTCTAATAAAGATAAAAAGAAATGTGGAGTAGCTGTAGTATTTGGCGAAAAGATCAAAGTTGAAATTATTCACCAGATACAAGATATTAAGGGTAGATATTTGATAATAATATGCAAAATTGACTCCATACTTTTCACATTATGTAATATATATCTCCCCAATCATTCACCAGTTGCCTATTTAAAAACAATTTTGGAAAAGGTAGATGAAATTAAAGTGGGAAAGTTAATATTAGCAGGGGATTTTAATGCAGTACTGGATCCTCAGATCGATAAAAAATTAATGAAAGGAAACAACTTAAACCAAATGGTGATAAAACAAGCAAAAGCTTTAAAAAAAATTAAAGATGAATATAATTTATTTGATATTTGGAGAATTTATAAACCCAATGAGAGAGATTATACGCATTTCTCTAAAGTTCATTTTTCCTATTCAAGATTGGATATGATTTGGGTAGATCCAAGCATTATTGATATGACCAAAAAAACAAAGATTGATGAAATAGTTTGGACAGATCACAATGGAGTTTTCTGTGAAATAGTTTTTTGTACATTTAAAAGAGAAGCCTATACTTGGCGGTTAAGAGATAATTTGCTTTGCTGTGAATTAATAAAAACTTACATAGAAAACAATATAAAAAATTACTTTAAAGAAAATATTTCAGAAAATATTGATCCATCTATTTTGTGGTGTGCCTTTAAGGCTGTTATAAGAGGCCATATTATCAAGCTACAAAGTCAGCTCGATAAAAATATTACTTTGGCATATTTACATACAGAATTATGAAATATGACTTATATTAATAAACAATCTCCATCTCCCGAAATTTATGGAAAAATATTAGAACTTAAAGAAAAAATAAAGCAAAAATTAATAGATACGATAGCCAAAAATATGGATAGACTAAAACTCAAATATTATTCTAAAGGTAATCGAGCTGAAAAGATGCTGTCTCAAAAACTTAGAAAACAAAAAGGACAAAACAAAGTAGATAAAATAATACAGAATGGAAAAATAGCAACAACCCCTAGAGAGATTGGAAAATGTTTTAATGAATACTACGGCAACCTATATAATATATCTCAAATTAACACAGATGAGGATATCAAAAATTATTTAAAAACTATAAAGAAGTTTCAATTAACATCTATTGATAATGAACTTTTGAATAAACCTATAATTATGGAGGAGATTATGAAAGCTATAAATGACTTAGAAAGATCTAAAACACCAGGCCCTGATGGGTTTAGTAACCTATTTTATAAAACATTTAAAGATCTATTATGTCCATATTTGACTTCTGCTTTTAATACAGCTGCAAACAGAGGATTTCTACCAGCAGAGATGCTTAAAGCTAATATCTTGCCCATTCTAAAAAATGACAAAAATTCCACCGACATTAAAAATTACCGTCCAATATCTTTAATAGATGTAGACACTAAGCTATATGCCTCGGTTTTGGCTGCCAGAATAAAAAAACTTCTTCCATTAATTATTCACAAAGATCAAATAGGATATGTTCCAGGTAGAAATTCCTATACAAGTATAAGGAAAATCATTAACATCTTGGACGATGCAAATAGAAATGATGTTGCAGTTCTGACTCTGTCGATTGATGCTGAAAAAGCATTCGACAGAGTCAGCTGGAAATATTTAGAAGCCATCTTATCACATTATGGACTGGAAGGTTGGATTAAGAAAGCTATAATGGCCTTATATGTAAATCCAGTTGCACGGACTATTGGACCTAATATTGTTGCCCCATGGTTCCAACTTAGAAATGGTACTCGGCAGGGTTGTCCCCTTTCACCATTACTTTACTTGCTCACTATCGAACCATTGGCTGAAAACATCAGAAACAATAAGGAGATTAATGGCTATAAAATAATGGATGAGGACCAAAAAATTAGTCTATATGCCGACAACATTTTAATTACTCTCACAAATCCTAAAAACTCTTTAGAACATATAATGCAAGAAATAGATCGATATAGTTTTATATCAAACTATAAGTTAAATACAAATAAATCCCTGATACTAGATATCAATCTCAATAAAAAAATGCAACAAGAGATTAAAAACAGATATGATTTTATTTGGGTTAAGGAAAGCATGGATTATTTAGGAATTAAAATAGTTAGAGAGACAAATAAGATTATGGAAGTAAATTTTCTAACATTATTATTGGACCTTAATAAATGGTTAAAAGATCGCAGAAATTTAGAGATTACTTTTTGGGGACGAATAAACGTCATTAACTCATATGTCATGCTAAAGTGGAATTACATGTTCCAAATGTTACCTCTCCATATTCCAATTCATTGGCTTCAATTATTACAAAGAAGCTTTACTCAATACATTTGGAAAGGTAAGAAGCCAAGACTAAAACAATCAATATTAGTGCAAAAATTACATAAAGGTGGACTCGCTTATCCATTTATAATGAATAATTTTAAAGCAGCTACTATTCTACATATTTATAGAATGCAAATTAAAGAAAATAAAGATGAAGGATGGTATAAAATGGAAATGAAGGCAGGAGAAGTCTCTAGCTTAGATTGCTTAATTTGGAATATAAATAAAACGCTAAAAAAAAAAGAGTATCCTAATATTATTTTAACTCAATTATTGGAAAATTGGTCCAAAATTAAAAAAGCAATGAATATAGAAAAAAAAGTTCCAAGCTACGTAGAGTTAAATATTGTAGAAAATCAAGTGGAAGATTTAAATCTAAATAATTGGAAAAAATTAGGGATAATGACTTTAGATCATTTATTGACAGAAGGATCAATCAAAACTTTTGCCCAAATAACAGGCGCATATAATCTTCCATCTAGAGAGGTGTTTAATTTTTTAAGACTTAAAAGTTATATGAATACACACGCCTTATAATACCAAAATCTAATTTGAGCAATCTGATTGATTTATTATTTACCTCAAAAAAAATTAATAAACCACTCTCTAAAGCTCTAATATTAACTAAATCAATGGTCAAGGACATAAATCCTACTGCTATACAGGCATGGAAACAAGACTTAAACATTGACATTAGTATGAAACAATGGGGTTCTTCAATGATGGATGTTAAGAAGAACATACACTCATTAAATTTACTAGAAACACACTTTAAAGTTTTAAATAGGTGGTACTTAGTACCAGCTAAATTGAATAAAATATATCCTTTAACTAACCCTACCTGCTGGAGGTGTAACAGTACTAGAGGCAATTTTAGACATATTTGGTGGGACTGCCATAAATTAAAAAAATCTGTGGCTGAAAATACAGCATTTCATATCCAATAATCTAAAACTCGAGTTGATAATTTCCCCAGAGGTAGTTTTGTTGCACTTGAATTGGCCACATATGACGTATGAGCTAAAAGTAATTCTTATACATCTTTTTTTAGCTGTTAAAATAGTAATTGCGAGATGGTGGAAAAAAAGATTCAGAAGTCCCCTGGAAGAAAGTTAAAAACCAACTCGAGTTTCAGATTAAAATGGAGTTGATGCTAAGTAAACAAAAACTAAGCAATAATGTATTTGTTTGGTCAAAATGTATTGAGATGATTAATGTAGAAAATAATGTTGATCAGTTAGAAGTAGACTAATTCCATGAACATTGTAAAAATTACAAGATATATTTAAATGATATTACCACTCTACTAAGGAAATTTTTCTGGTATTTTTTTTTCTTCTTTCCTATTCTGCTGCTATATTGTCTTGTATTGTAAATTTGTATGATATATGTATTTAAAATAAGGAAAAAAAAATAAAGATTAAAAAAAGAATGCACAAGCAACTTACACCCTATATGGTAGTGAATTAGGGATAACCAAACATGAGAAGGATTTGGGAATTGTTATAGACAACAAATTAGGCAGTAATATGCAATGTCAATCTGCCAGTAAGCTTTTGTCATGTATAAATAGGGGCATAAAGTATCGGGATGAAAATATAATTTTGCCTCTTTATAAATTGCTAGTTAGACCACAACTTGAATATGCTGTGCAATTTTGGGCACCTGTTCTAAAGAAAGATTTCATGGCACTAGAAAGTTCAAAGATGAGCTACAAAATTGATAAAAGGAATGGAGCATTTTAGTTACGAAGAAAGGTAAAAAATGTAAATCTCTTTACTTTGGAAAAACCGTGCCTGAGAGGGGAAATGAAAACATACATATGTATTCGGGGCCAGTACAAACCATTATCTGGAAATCTATTCATAAACAGGCCTATACATAGGACACGAAGTCACACATTTAGGCTGGAAGAAAAGAGATTTCATCTAAGGCGAACAAAAGGTTTTTTTACAGTAAGAGCAATAAGGATATGGAATTCTCTGCCTGAAGAGGTGATTTTGTCAGAGTCTATACAGATGTTTAGATTGCAATTGGATAAATACTTGCAAAAACATAACATGCAGGGGTATAATTTCTAATTAGTAGGGTAATAGCTGCTTGATCCAAGGAGACATCTGACTGCTATTTTGGGGTCAAGAAGGAATTTTTTTCCAAGGTTTTGCAAAATTAGAAGTGCTTCAGACTAGGTTTTTTGCCTTCTTTAGGAAGGTTGAAATTGATGGACGCAAGTAACTATGTAACCTAGCCTTGGGCAACTTTCATCTGGCTCTGTTCAAGGTGGAATAATACCTTATGAAGGTCTTCCCATGCTGAAGGTCTTTCCCAAACTCAGGCAGAGTGCACTTGTAAGCCAACCAATCAGAATGCTTACAGGCACATCTCAAGAATGGTAAGACTTGCCTGACTGAGAGCTCTGATTGATTGGAATATTTCCACACAAATCTCAAGAGAAATGAGGCGTGCCTGTCAACATTTACAAGCCAAACAATCAGAGGATTTGCCTTAGCTATGAAAGAATGGGAAAACCTTTATAAGATCTTTTCCCATCTTGCATGCTCATTTTGTGTGGAGCCCTCACAGGGTGAAGATGGAATACACTTTTAGAAGTTATGATGTTTCTTTTTTTGTCTTTATTTTTTGCTATTCTGGTCTGTTTTAACGGTTGCATTTGTTGTTATGAATTTTTATTTGGCCTTTTGTAGGGCTGAAGAAAAGTAGATAGGAAGTATTATTTTTTTTTCAGGGTTTTAGAGTTATTGGGTCCCTCATCTGCAAAGGGTAGGTAAAATATTTTAACTGGAGGGTTAGCAAGGAGCTTTCAGACAATTGCAAAGTATGGAATAGACAGTGTGTTGTACTGCATTGCATAACTGTGTGTTTTCTAATAATTTTGTCAGTGGGATTAATACTGTTGATTTACATACCATGTTTTTTGACTTGGAGCCAATCCTGATAATGATGTGTTTATGTAATCATTTGACACTCTATGTCATCTGCAGATTATCAGTATAGGACAGTTGCACAAGCATGTGATAGGAGGACAGCCGTTGGCTTAGCACGATGCGAAGACGTAGATCTGCGCTTTTTCCTTCCACCTCCACCACTGCCAAAAATAATTGATGTAAGGTTGTTCATTTTTTTAACATGTTAAAATAAATGCAGTACCAAGATGCTTGAGAAGTGGAGCACTGAATGAATGTATGAGATTACGAGGAGGGTATATATAATAGGAAACCGAACGACCTATTCAATATAAAACATGAAATATTCGAAAATACCCTTAATCTCTAGCTGTGATATCTGTTAATACAGTAATGCAAATAAGACTATCATTGCAAGATAGTCAAACAATAATATGCCATAAATAACCGTTTTAAAAAACGAAATAAATAACAAATGTCATGTACTAAATGCAACAGACTTGATAATAAAGTCCAATATTAGTCTGTGCAAATCCATTTATTCCAGGTATTCTCCTGGATGATGTCACTCCATAGTAGAGGTGAGTATATGAAAAGGTACAGAGAAAAACAAATTAGTCGATTTTTGTATCAGTAAAATACATAAGAAACAATCCAATTTTGTAAAAAATAAAACTGTCTTTATTAGAGTCTTAGCTCTCAACTAAAAATCAATATATAAAAGGCTCAGATTAAAAAGTCCAAATAAAATACTAATGATCAGACCTCATTAACATGTGTCTGTAAACTGATTCACAAAAGTGCATGTTAGGTGCACCTTATACTGCTCACGGCGTCCCGGATCAGCAGATTAGATGTTGCTTTGCTGGGTACAATACAGGCAAGTGCTTCCTAGATGCTGGCTTCCAGTGATCAGTAATCAGTCCCTCCAAATGCGTTTCTCCGTCAGAAAGGACTGTATGGCAATTGCCGCTTATATAGCAGTTTATTTCTCTCAATTTTCACATATCAATAAACATTGTTTCTGAATTAAATTGCATACAAAGTATTCATTCTTAATACATTATTTCAATAATAATGAACATTCTTAGTTTCTTATTCTCAATCGTATATAATAGGTTATCCTTCTAATGGACATTTGTAACCATAGTTACTCCCGCTGGGTTTTAAATTCAAACATAACTGTCATTGACTTAAACTATTATTTCATTAATATACTAAGAAAAAGAGATCAGAAAGCAGGAGTAGTGTATATAAGTGTGTTCCATAGAACGTACTATTAATAATAGTTTCTTGGAACGGAATATGCCAGAGATGAACAGGTTTTGGCATTAAATGCAAGTAGTGCTTGCATATTAGAAACTTGTATTTGGGGTTTGCAGTAATGATCAAGTTACAGAATAAATGTTTAGAATATTAAAACGAAGTAGTGGATAATAATATATTCACAACTGTTGTTGCAAATATTTCTTCTAATGTCTTCTGATGGATGTTATTTAAAGGGACCCTTTTCTTTTTTCTATATGATGTCCAATTAGAACGTAGTCAATATAGATATGTGCTACTGGTGTAGAGAACGATAAAAGTAAAATTAGAAAAAATGCTAAATAGTACTAAAAATGAAAAATAGTAAATTAGCCTATATGATTATTAGTTGTAAGGTTAAAATTTAGGATTTAAAATGTGATAGGGATAGTACGCTGCATAAAGAGATAAGTGTGGTGTTGGATTTCACTGTTATACATTGCTATATATAAATATAATCTTCCTTAAAGGGACCTACTGTTAGTGCTACTTTATATATTTTCACAAGTACTGTGAATCTCTCCTAAACGGTCCTATGAAGTACTCCCCACTTTCTTATATACAAAAAAAGATACTACCAGGTAAGGTTACCAAACCCTAGCCAGTAGTATAAAAGGTGGGTTAGAGGGGTAGAGAAAAGGGCATAACCCTACATATACAATTAGAAAAGAAAAATAGTAGTAAGGAGGAATCCTCTCGTAACATGGGAATCCTCCCACTAGAACTACCCCTAAGAAAATGTGTAATTCCACAGGCTAATATCACTAGAAAAAGCTCTAATAAGACATACGTTGCACATATGAATTAAGCATCTCACAAAGTGGAAAAGACTATAAGCATGTGTATAAGCTGAATGGTACCAGCAATCAGTCACGATTAAATCAATCTGTGGGGGCTTGAGACACAGTTACCACACTTGTAGCAAATATAGTAGTAGTTATACGTGGAAACAAATTTGAATGGGTGCCATAGAATTAGTGTGCTGTGTATTAATATGTAAATCAACAGAGGGTGGCACATAAATCCCCTTCTAATTTAAAAAATACTAATTCAAAGAATGCCCCAAAATTACTATCATAAAAGATAAGAAATCGAAAGGACAGCTTAAACTGGTATTGCATAAAGATGGTGATGGGCTCATTTTCACGGTTGTTCATCCTAAGAACTGGCATAGTTCGAATTCTGCATTTAAGCTTTTTGGTTGTAATGTATTTAAATTGTATATCCATTTAATTTCTTGTATGCCCAATTGTTTGGTATGATCTCCACCTCTCCAATGTTTCCTTACTCTGCATATAGCTTGAAAGTTCAGGAGACTCATATCCGCTTTGTGATATTGTGCAAAGTGGGCCAATACCATATGCTGCATATATTTCTTTTTGATGTTTAGCGTGTGCTCTCTTATTCTAATGTACAGCTGTATTTTTGTCCTGCCCACGTACTGGAGTCCACATGGGCATTCCAGTACGTAGATTACGTCTACACTTTGACATGTAATGAAGTCCCAAATTTTGAATGATTCATTGTTATTTCTTGACTTTCTATTTGGAATCTCATATATCCCTTTCATTGAGGTATCTTTGCTAGTCTTGCAGGCAATACACTCATTTCAGTAGAGGAAACCTTTCTTCTTCATCCCTTTTTCTTCTTTCTTATTTGCTTTCAAATGGTTATTTGTCAATTTATTTTTTATGTTCCTGGCTCGCCTGAAAATTATCCTTGGTTTATCTGGTATGATACTAGCCAGTGATTTATCTTTTTTGAGCAAGTGCCAATGTCTTCTTAGGATTCTTTTAAGTTGTACATTCTCTTTACTGTAATCCAGAATGACAGGTGGGAACAGATTGGTTTGTTGTGATGGTCTTCTCACGTCTTTTTATTTTTATTTTAGGAAGTTGTTACGATCTAGATCCTTTACTTTCAGTAATGCATGTTTGACTTCCTTGGGATCATAGTTCTTAGCCAGAAATGTATCTTTTATATTTTCCGCCTGTTCCATATATACTTGATGGTCCGTACAGTTCCGCTGGAAAATGGCAACTCTCTTTCAAGATGAAGCTATTAACATCAACTTCTTTGAAGTGTGTCTTCGTTTTTATAATACCTGAGTCGATGTAGATGGTAAGGTCCAGAAAATCCACAGCTGTAGTACTGTGGACTGTGTTGAGTGTTACCCCCCAGGTGTTGTTGGTATATTCTAAGAACTTATGTAGCTCTTCCGTATTTCCTTCCCATATAAATAAAATGTCATCTATATATCTTTTATAACTGTGGCTGTTCTTGTTCCATGAATGGATATTCCAGATATAATTCTCTTCCCATTCACCCATGAATATGTTGGCGAAACTGGGAGCAAAGTTGGTCGCCATTGCAGTTTCTCTTTTCTGAAGATAAAATTGACCTTCAAAGAGGAAGTAGTTGTTCTTGAGTATGAATTCAATACCCTCAATGATTAACACAATGTGTGACTCTTCTAAATCTCCAATCTTCCACAGTGTATTCATTACTACGTTGCACCCTAATTCATGCTCCATTATGTTGTACAGTGATGTCACGTCCATAGATACCAAGATGAAGTTATCCCTCCATGTTATTGAAGCCAGTTCACGAATCGTCTGTGTCGTATCTTTCAAATGTGATGTTACTCTGAAAACATACGGCTGTAAGAAGTAATCAATATATTGCGACAGGTTAGAGGTGATGGAATTGATACTAGAAATGATTGGCCCCAATCATTTCTGGTATCAATTCCATCCCCTTTAACCTGTCGCCAATCATTTGTGGTATTAATTCCATCACCTCTAACCTGTCGCCAATCATTTCTGGTATCAATTCCATCACCTCTAACCTGTCGCCAATCATTTCTGGTATCAATTCCATCACCTCTAACCTGTCGCCAATCATTTCTGGTAAAAATTCCATCACCTCTAACCTGTCACAATATATTGATTACTTCTTACAGCCGTATGTATTCAGAGTAAAAGCACATTTGAAAGATACGGCACAGATGATTCGTGAACTGGCTTCTATAACGTGGAGGAATAACTTCATCTTGGTATCTATGGACGTGACATCACGGTACACCATAATTGAGCATGAATTACCGTACAACTCAGTAATGAATACACTGAGGAAGATTGGAGATTTAGAAGAGTCACAAATTCTTCATTGAGGGTATTGAATTCATACTCAAGAACAACGATTTCCTTTTTGAAGGTCAATTTTATCTTCAGAAAACAGAAACTGCAATGGGGACCAAATTTGCTCCCCGTTTCGCCAACATATTCATGGGAAGAGAATTATATCTGGAATATCCATTCATGAAACAAGAACATCCACAGTTATAAAATATATAGACAACATTTTCTTTACATGGGAAGGAAATACGGAAGAGCTACATAAGTTCCTCGAATATACCAACAACAACACCCGGGGGGTAACACTCAACACAGTTCACATCACTACAACTGTGGATTTTCTGGACCTTACCATTTACAAAAATGAAGACACACTTCAAAGAAGTTGATGTTAATAGCTTCATCTTGAAAGAGAGTTGCCATTTCCCAGCATGGTTGAAGAATGTACCATATAATGAATTTAGAAGATTGAGACGCAACTGTACGGACCATCAAGTATATATGGAACTGGCGGAAAAGATAAACAATACATTTCTGGCTAAGAACTATGATCCCAAGGAAGTCAAACATGCATTACTGAAAGTAAAGGATCTAAATCGTAACAACCTCCTAAAAGAAAAAGAAAAAGACGTTATAAGACCATCACAACAAACCAATCTGTTCCCACCTATCATTCTGGATTACAGTAACGATAATGTACAACTTAAAAGAATCCTAAGAAGACATTGGCACTTGCTCAAAAAAGATAAATCACTGGCTAGTATCATACCAGGTAAACCAAGGATAATTTTCAGGGGAGCCAGGAACATAAAAAATAAATTGACAACCATTTGAAAGCGAATGAGAAAGAAGAAATAGGGATGAAGAAGAAAGGCGTCTTCTACTGAAATGAGTGCAAGACTAGCAAAGATACCTCAATGAAAGGGATATATGAGATTCCAAATAGAAAGTCAAGAAATAACAATGAATCATTCAAAATTTGGGACTACATTACATGTCAAAGTGTAAACGTAATCTACATACTGGAATGCCCATGTGGACTCCAGTACGTGGGCAGGACAAAAAGACAGCTGTACATTAGAATAAGAGAGCACACGCTAAACATCAAAAATAAATATATGCAGCATATGGTATTGGCCCACTTTGCACAATATCACAAGACGGATATGAGTCTCCTGAACTTTAAAGCTATATGCAGAGTAATGAAACAGTGGAGAGGTGGAGATCATACCAAACAATTGGGCATACAAGAAATGAAATGGATATACAATTTAAATACATTACAACTGATGTGGAAATCAATCAATAAATGGATTATTTTGCGTATCTAAACCTGGCCAAATTAAAGAAACAATGTGTGCACGCTCCCTGAAGTAATTCACACCAGACACAAGTTTCAGGTTAATGAAAAACTTGAGGAATGTTTATTCAGAGGGGACGACAAGTCCCTTTTAAAGCTGAATTACATCATATGCATTGTCAGAGATAACATGAAATAATACATCATTAATTGGTTAGGTGTTAAGTGGCTCTTCTAATGCTCTACCTACGGGGGGTGATGTCACTGGTATCATGAGGGTCTCCCCCAGATTCCAGCGCCATCTTGTTACACGAGGTAGTCGATGTTAGAGGGGAAACTCCCTAGCGGCCATCTTAGTTAATCACATAAGAGTTGAATAATGCTGATTATAGTTAAATGAGTAAATAGACATTTTACTAGCTAAAAATTATGTTAATATCTAATTTCTACAACAGTCCCCCCTTAAAATGGCTATTTACTAAAAAGACAACTACTACTGTCCCTAACATGTCCCTAGTTGCCTGCAGCTCATCTGTCTTAACGAGCCTCGAACGCTTCAC